GTGAAATGATAGCACCCTGGCCACGGTAGCGCACGCTCGCAGCCCCACCAGCGTAGAACTGCAGGGAGCAGGGGCGGCATCGCGGGTGGACCAAGGCTTTGGCCTATGGCAGGCCCTGAGCTCAGAAGGATGCAGGGCTTTTCCCAAACCCACACTAGGTGCAGGGCTGGGGAGGCCGCTCCAGACGCAGGAGAAAGGGGTGGGGACCCGTGAGGGAAGAGGGGAGCCGCCAGGCGGCAGGTTCTAAATGTAAGAGAGGCAGCGGGAGGCAGATGACCAAAAAGTGAGCACAAGTTGTGGCTTCTGGACCCAGCAAGGTCCCCCCTGGGACGTCCCTAAGAAACCCCCACATGTAGGGGGACCAGGACGTGCATCGTCAATGAGGGTGGGCAGCCATGTGGATGAACCCAGAGATTCCAGTGGGGAAAAGCAAGAGGAGGCCGAGACTGATGTCTAGAGGCGCCGGCACCCTCACAGACCCAGGTGCTGGAGCAAGCACAGCCCTGGTCACAGGGCAGACACGGGGAGTGGGGATGACTGAGTGTGCACATAGCAGGGAACAGACAAATGAAATTAATGACATGGATAACTTTAAAGTCTAAAGAAGGGTCTGTGCAGGCAAATCCTGAGCAGAAATCAATGCAGGAGTTTGATTAGCCTATGCCTGGAGGGGAAAACCGGTGTTTTAAACTCAGGGCCTAGAGTCCGGTGATCAGGAGGAAAGAGGTTCCAGATAAGACACAGATAAGGAACCTCCTCACCCCACCCCACCCCTCAAGAGACTAGAGCAGAGTGGGAGGCCCACAGGCAGCATAGCCTTCAACTCCTGGTTTCCCCAGAAGACGTTGTGAGCATTTGACCAAGTGACCCCAGAGGCCCCCTCCAGGACACTGTGAAAGCAGGAACAGACAAATGAAATTAATGACATGGATAACTTTAAAGTCTAAAGAAGGGTCTGTGCAGGCAAATCCTGAGCAGAAATCAATGCAGGAGTTTGATTAGTCATGCCTGGGAGGGGGAAAACCGGTGTTTTAAACTCAGGGCCTAGAGTCCGGTGATCAGGAGGAAAGAGGTTCCAGATAAGACACAGATAAGGAACTCTCACTCCCTACCTCACCCCCAAGAGATTAGAGCAGAGTGAGGCCCACAGGCAGCATATTTCAACCTTGGGTTTCCCAGAAGACGTTGTGAGCATTTGACCAAGTGACCCTAGAGGCCTCTCCAGGACACTGTGAAAATTTGTACCAATCTGCCTTTGCTCCTTGAGCCTCGCCTTGCGGGCCAGCTCAAATGATGGACAAATGGCTCTTCTGGCCAATTCCGATTTGTGACTTTATCTTGAGAGGAGGCAAGCAGGCCCAGCTTCACCAGGCTCTCCTGTCTTCTCTGGAACACCCTACGAGTCCCTTCTGAGACAGGCCAGCTTTGCCCCAGCCTAGAGCACCTGAGCGGCGGTGGAATGACTTGCGTGATGACAGACAGCTGTGAGCTCCTGCTGTGGCCCAGGCCCAGGGTTCTAGGTCAAGGAGTCAGGAAGAAAAAGCCATGCCAGGGATGCTGGGCAGGGGGCGTTTGGGGGTGGGTGCCCATTCAGCCGTTAAGGGCTACTTTCTCTTACCTGTACTGAAGAACAGCTCTGTGAAAACCGGCTCTTTATCTTAGCTTCATCACTCTGGCTAGAGTGGGCGGATATTCAGCAGAGATCTAGAAACAGACTAATCTCAGGAGCACAGGAAAGCTGAGAGTTTAGAGCTGTGCAGGACTTTGAGATCATCTCATTCTACCCCTCATCTTGTTGATGTGAAACAGGCTGAGATGGGAGGGCTGGCCTGTGGTCACAGAGCAGGTCCCTTTAAATCTGCTTGCCTGGGTATGCATCGCTCCAGAAACACACAACACTGGAAATAACCAGATGGTTTTCCAACGGGCAAAGGCAGCGCCTAACCCGGTTTCTCCTCCTGGATGCTGAAATGGAACCAGCAAAAGAGGACCCAGAAGATGACTTCTTCCACCTTCAGCCTAAGCAGACAGGAGGATCTCATTTTTTTTTTTTTTAAGATGAGTCTCCCATGGCTCAGGCTGGAGTGCAGTGGCATGATCTCGGCTCACTGCAGCCTCGCCTCCAAGGCTCATGCCATTCTCCTGCCTCAGCCTCCCAGTCGCTGGGACTACAGGTGCTCCCACCACACCTGGCTAATTTTTTCTGTATTTTCAGTAGGATTGAGGCTTCCAATCTCTTTGACCTCATGATTGGCCCACCTCGGCCTCCGAAAGCCTCTGGGATTACAAGCATGAGCCACTCCTGGCCAGAAGACACCATTTGAAACTCCCCAGAGTCTCCCTTTGCAGTTTGGACGGTGCCTTGCTGCTCAGCTCAGACTGAGGCCTGAAAGATCTTGCTAGGGGGCTCAATTGTGTCCCACCCCTTCCCCAAAATAATTCATCTTAGAGATCTGAACCCTGACCTCAAAATAGACTGCATTTGGACATACGGCCTTTAAAGAGGCAATTCCATCAAACTGAGGTCACTACTAGGGTACGCCCCAAACTAATTTGGTGTCCTTTATAAGAAGAGGAAATTTGGACACAAAAAGACACCAGGGGTGCGTGTGCACAAAAACTATGTGTGGGACCAGGCACTGTGGCTCATGCCTGTAATTCCACACTTTGGGAGGCCCAGGTGGGAGGATTGCTGGAGCCCAGGAGTTCAACACCAGCCTGGCCAATGTGGGGAAACCCTGTCTATGCTACAAATACAAAAATTAGCCAGGCCTGGTGACACACACCTGTAATCCCAGCTTCTTGGGAGGCAGAGGCACGAGAATTCTTCAACCCTGGAGACAAAGCTTGCAGTGAGGTGAGATTGCATCACTGCACTCCAGCCTGGGCGACAGCGCGAGACTCTGTCTCAAAAAACAAATAAACCGTGTGTGGAAACAGCCAGCAGCGTCTACCTGCAAACCAAAAAGAGAAACCTCAGAAGAGACAAGCCTGCCAGTGGCTTGACCTCGGACTCGCAGCCTCAGACCTGGGAGAAAATTAGTAAGTATTGTTGAAGCCCCAGGCTGGGCTATTTTGTTCTGGCAGCCCTAGGAAACTCCTCCAGACGTTTTCACAGATGGCCCTGGCACTCCCAGGCCCATGCCCAGGGTGAAACCTCCAGGAAACCCAAGCCCAGCGCGACCTCCCAGGCACAGGTGAAGGGCTGCCTGGCTGGCTGCTGCCCACACGAGCCCACAGCTCACAGGGAGCTGGGGCTGAAGCCCCATCTGCTCAGAGGCGCCTTCTCCAGAAAGCCCGAGGGAAGATGCCACCACCGCAGCTCTTCACACCGCTGTCCCTCTCTGAGCTCCAGCCTCACACCATCCAGCACACAGAGTTACATTCAGGTGGGTTTGGGAAAACAGTGAACACCCAGGCTCTCTTCCGTGCTCAGAACAACTCTGAGAGGAGACGGCCCTCTCCAACAGCTGGTCCATCCAGGGAGGCGGTGCCTGGAACTGGGTGAGGGCTGCCGCGGGGACAGTACCACCCCCACCCGTGGCCCTGGAGAGGTCCAGCAGACAGGGGCAGATCCCGCTCAGCGAGAGGGACTGCGGCGCTGCTCTACTCCCAGGCGCGCGGGGCAGGTCTCCCTGCAGCCGTTTCGAGAAGGTGCAGGGGACCCCTGGCTTCGGGTCAGCCTCAGAGGCTCCAGGTCCTCTCCCAGGGCAAGCTGCAAGCGAGCCGGGCCGGCGTCGGCCTGGGGGACGCCCGCGATTGGACTCGCAGGTTCGGGAAGCTCCTGGGCGCGACCAGAGGACGCGCTGCCGTTCCCAAGGGATGTCCCCGCTCCGCTGCAGCGCAGAGGCGGTTCCTTGAACCGCTGTTAGACACTTTCCCGTTGCCAAGCCCTGGAAGAAAGCGCGGACACGGGGAAGTCGCGGAGATGCCGCTGCTCCCAAGGCGGGAGCGGAGGACGACAAGCAGGTGCAGCGCGATCTGCGCTCGCTCCTGGGAGTGGCTGAGACCGGGCTGAGCGCGGGCTTTTCCTGAACACAAACCAGAAGCTGAGGCTGCGGCAAACGGGCCCGCTATCCAGGCTTGTCTCCTTCCTGCCGCTGCTGGGGGTACGCACGGTCCTCGCCCAGCCTCCTGCTCGGGCCCTGCAGCCCATGCACACGCCTTTCCCTTGCAGCTCCGTGCGCCCTCGCGCCGCCTCTTCCACATCTCCTGGGCAGAAGCCCCTCTCCATCGCGCAGTGCCGTCCACCGTCGTCCGCCTGTGCGGCCTCGGTCTTCCCTTCTTCCTCACCCCCACCCTTCCCCTCTGGGAAGCAGGATCCGTCCGTTTTGTTTCTTTCGTGCTGTGTCCCCTGGGCCTGGAGCTGAGCTGCCTTGGCACAGCTGTAGATCCAGTGAGTTTTTCTTCAGTCTTACCTAGTGCTAGTGCGTGTGTTAATTGCTCTAACCGTCGTCATCCACCTGTTAGAAAGGCGCTGCTCCCACCCCATTCTACAGACGAGGAACTGCCACCTCCAGGGGTTGTGTAAGTCGCACCCTGACAGCCAGTGCAGGAGCTCACCACCCTCCAAACACACACACACAGGCGGCCCCTGCAGAGGGCCAGCACATTCAACTCCACGACCCTCCTGCAGCCCCGAGCGCTCGTCAACAGAAGCTTTTGTCTTCTAGATTTAAAAAGACAGCTGTGGAAAATAAAAACCAGTGCCCCCATCTCCTCAAGGACCAGTACTTTGCACATCACACCCAAAACACATCAGCACACATTAGCGCCTCCTGTAGACGCACAGTATTGGGTGGACGTCCCCGTGTTGACCATAAACTGGATCCTATGACGGATCCTCATTTCGTTTCTGTAACACGCACTTTTCGTTTTTTAAACCCATCCATTGGCAAGGTCTCTATTCCGATAGTTTTGGATTGGATGACTTCCGTCACGCCCCTCCCAACTTCAGTCTCGCAGTGATCGCTCATCTCCTTCATTTACTTGGCATCTCCTTAAATTTATTCACACCTTGTTTATTTATACAACGACTTTACTTTGATTACAAGCAATACTAGCAAGACCTTCAAGTTTCAAGGTGCAAGTTACCTGCCCTCCAAGGCTGCAGTAAAGCATTATGTAAACATTAATTATACTCTGGGTCACAGGAATCATTTTGCACAATGCAACTGTCACCTGAGCTGATCCCTGGGAAACACGAACTGCCTGTTGCTGTGTTTGGGGGTTTGTTTTTATGGTTTAGCATTCTATAACAGCTTTATTGGGGTACAATTCAATACAATAAAATCCACTCATTGTAAATATACAGTTCAATGGTTTTTAGTCACTGCATAGGATTCTGCAACCTTCACCACAATCCACTTTTAAAACAGTTCCGTTACCACAAAGATTTCCAACATGCCCATCTGCAGCCAATCCTGGCTGTCAGCCTCAGTGGTACACAAGAAGTGATCTGCTTTTCCTCTGTTTTCATCTGCCTTTTCTGGAAATATCATATAAATAAACGGTATTAGTGGAATTACTAGTTTCAAGTTTCACTTTGCTATGCCAAAAATTGAAACATAGGGTTACCATACAATCCATCAATTCCACTCCTAGGTATATATAAAAGAGAGTTTTATATATACCTTTTTGTTCACGTAAAAATATGTACACAAAATATATATGGTATCATTTTTCATTATAGCGAAAAAGTGGAAACAAAGGCTAGGCAAGATGTCCCATGCCTGTAATCCTAACACTTTGGGAGGCCAAGGTGAGTGGACTGCTTCAGGCCAAGAGTTCCAGACCAGCCTGGGCAACATAGGGACTACGTCTCTATAAAAAATACAAAAATTAGCCAGGTGTGGTAGTGTACACCTATGGTCCCAAGCTATTTGTGAGGCTGAGGTGGATCACTTGAACCAAGGAGGTGGAGATTGTAGTGAGCTATGATGGCTCCTCTGTACTCCAGCCTGGGTGACAAGAGTGAGAATCTGTCTCAAAAAAAAAAAAAAAAAAAAGAAACAACATAAATGTTCATTCATTGATAAATGGATAAACAAAACATGGCATATTCATCTAATGCAAACATTTATTAATTTACTTATTTGTTTATTTATTTGGAGACAGGGATTCACTCTGTCATCCAGGTAGCAGTGCCCTGCTGTGATTACAGCTCACTGCAGCCTTGGACTCCTGGGCCCAAACAATCCTCCTGCCTCAGCCTCCCAACTAGGTAGGACTACAAGCACGCACTACTCTGCTCAGTTAATTTTTTTTTTTTTTTTTATAGAGACGTGGTCTTGCTGAGTTGCACAGACTGGTTTCCAACTCCTGGCCTCAAACAATCCTCCTACCTCAGCCTACCAAAACGCTAGGATTACAGGGGTGAGCCACCATGCCTGGCCTATTCGAAATTTTTAATTGAAAAGCAAAAAATGAACAAAAAGAATTTGGGCCCACATATACTCAGTTATTTGATTTTCACCAAAGGCACCAAAGCAATTCAATGTGGAAATAGTGTCTTTGCAACAATGGGTTCAGGAACAACTGGATATCCATAGGGGAAAGAAATTAACCTTAATCCCAACCTCACACCATAACAAAAAAATTATATGAAATAGAATTTACACTTAAACATACAAGCTGAAATTTAGAAGTTTCCAGATTAAAAAAAATATGAGAGCCTTTTTTTTTTTTTTCTTGGAACAGGATCTTGCTCTGTTACCCAGGCTGGAGTGCAGCAGTGAGATCTCTGCTCACTGCAGCCTCCATCTCTCAGGCTCAAGCAATACTCTCACCTCAGCCTCCCAAGTACCTACAGAAACTACAAGTGAACGCCATCACTCCCAGCTAATTTTTGGATGTTCTGTAGAGATGATGTCCCAATGTTGCCCAGACTGGTCTCAACTCATGAGCTCAAACAATTCACACACCTCGCCCTCCCAGAGTTCTGGGATTACAGGTGTGAGCCACCATGCCATGCCAGTTCTTTGTTTTTTGTTTCTTGGGGTTTTCTGTTTGTTTGTGTGTTTTTTCTTTGTTTGTTTTTAATGGACAAGATATTTAAAGAGATACTTCACACAGTAAGATAAACACATGGGCCATAAACCCATGAAAAAGTGCCCATCTTTTCTTATCAGCTAAATGCAAACTTAAACCATAAGGAATACTACATACCCACAAATGGCTAGAAGTTAAAAAAAAATCAATGAAAAGTGCCAAATGTTGCCAGGGGAGTAGCCTTCATAACGCTTGCATACTGTTGGTGGGAGGAAAGTAATCTAAATGTCCAACAGCAGTGGCTGCTAGGAAAATCTAGAGTTCTACCAAACAATAGAACAATAAAAATGGTGTTTTAGGCTACTTCCTCTTTCATTCCACTCCAATTTCTGTGGACCCACAAGCTTCAGCTCTACTCACAAATGCGTGGCCTCATATTCCCCAAGCAGCTTCTTCTGAATGTGTCTTCTCTTTGAAAATGGTGGGTGCCAGCGCGCCCCTGCTGTTCAACCCCCATACCCACTGTCGCCGCGACATCCTCTCTCAGGACTCCCGTGCCCACTTATGCCACCACATTGCACATGAAAACTTCCTTTTCTCGTTTCTTTCTTTTCTCTCTTTCGAGATAAGGTCTTGCTCTGTCGCCCAGGCTGGAGTGCAGTGCTGCAATCATAGCTCAGTGCAGTCTCGACCTCCTGGGCTCCAGCTATCCTGCCGCCTCAGCCTTCCAGGTGCTGAGATATCTTTGTGTGTGTGCTTATGCTCATTAACAAAGCTCAAAGGGACGCATGGAGGAAGCTCTGAATTACGATGAGGAAATGAAAAACGGCTCTGTGTGGTGGGTCATTACGATGGCACACGAAAGCCAAGCGGGTTTCCGTAGTGTAGTGGTTATCACGTTCGCCTCACACGCGAAAGGTCCCCGGTTCAAAACCGGGCGGAAACACTTCCGTCTACTTTTTACCTCATTACTTCAAACGTATTACACTTAGGACTAGCCTACAACACTCCACCTCTATCTCCACCTGGTTAAGAAGAAAAGGCTATCCAGGGTATTTATACCGTTGCCTTTCCACCTCAACCACTGGAACCTGGGAAGAACTGAACCCACCTCACTTGCTGTGAACACCAGCGCCAAGGAACTCCCTACAAAGCCCGTCCACTGGACGGCTGCGCGCTGCCAAATGGAATCCAGATCCCGAGCAAGCGTGGGGCCCGAGGAAAGTTCCAACGAATCCTTATTGGGGGACAAAAGTGGACAAACCACACCAAGCTGGCAGCGGTGGGATTCGAACCCACGCCTCCGAAGAGACTGGAGCCTTAATCCAGCGCATTAGACCGCTGGGCCACGCTACCTTTCCCCTGCGATCCATTTACATATTTTCCTGCTTTATACAACATCCCCAGAGTCCCCGGGCCTACAAGGCCTTAGGGCGAATCCACAGGGCATTCCAGAACCACCGCCATGCGGCAGGATTCTCTGGGTCAGAGGCACCAGCTGAGAAACTACTCCACCAGCGCCCTGGCAGAGAAGATTCGCGACGCGCAGGCCTCGGGATCTGCTTTGGGGACCACTCAGAAAGTCACCCACATTGGCCCTCTTTGGAGAGGTGGCGTGAGAGGAGGGGAAGCCTTCTGCACTCTTACTTTAAAGAAAGATAAAAATAAACAAACCAGGGCAGACCCCGTCAGTCGGGCGGCCGCGTAGTTCTGCAGCCTCCGTGCCGCGCTCCACAGGCAGCAGCTCAGAGGGGGCGCCTCCGGGGAGAGCCACGGCCCGCGGGGTCCACGGCCCTGTTTGCGGGAGTGCGGCGCCCGCTCTGCCCGGATCCGCCCCGGCCCGAGGCTCCGGCCCGCCGTCCATCCGCGCAGCGGCCCCGCCGGGCTCGGTTCTGGACTCGCGCTTCCGCCGCCCCCGCCTGGCTCCCAGTTTCTTTCAGTCTCAGGCGGAACCGACCTTGTCCCCCGAATCTCCGCCTCCTCCTCGCGCCCCCTCCCCTCCGCCCGGTGCTTTGCTCTCCCGGTTCTTGGCTCGCCTGCGGCTGGCGGAGGAGAGGGGAGGAGACGGGAGGGGAGGAGGCGGGAGGGGAGGAGACGCGAGGGGAGGAGACGCGAGGGGAGGAGACGCGAGGGGAGGAGACGCGAGGGGAGGAGACGCGAGGGGAGGAGACGCGAGGGGAGGAGCGGGGAAAGGAGAGGTCCCCAGGGCCGAAGAGCTCCGGGGGACGGAGGTCGACCCGGTTTTCCAGCCGCTGCCCCGGCGGGAGTTCCGCGGGTCGAAAGAGAGGTCCCCAGTGGCCGAAGAGCCCGGGGACGGAGGCCTGACTCCGCTTCCAGCCGCTGCCCCGGCGGGAGTTCCCGCGGGTCGCACGCGGCCACCTTCCAGCCCCGCGCGTCAGCGCCGACTACATGAGCAACCGAGCCCGCTGAGGACAGCGAGGACTTCCGCGCGATCGCCGACGTATCGCCCCGGGGCTGTGCGGGGACCCTCCAGGGCTTCGAGGCGGGCGGCCTCGCAACTCCCGCCGCCGCAGCACCCACGCGGGACCCTGCCACCGCCGGGCCGCCTCGCGGGCAGCAGCGCAGGAGCAGTCGTCCCATCGCAATGGGCGATCGGTCCGCACGCCACCTCAGCACTAGCAGCCCAGAGTCATGGAGAAGGTCGCACGGCAGGTCTGCGAGTGGATGGTCAAGAGCGCCCTGCTTCATTGGATGAGGGCGACAGCAAACAGCTCTGTGGCCGGAGGAATTGATCCTCATCTTCTGTTCCCACACAGCAAGTTGACTGGCGCGCAGAGACCCAAGGAACTGGAAAAAGTGTCGGGATGCTTGATCCAGGAGGCGGCAAGGGTGGAGATGTCTTAGGACAAGAGCTGCATCCACGTGGACAACAGCAAAATGCGCTCAGAGCCTAAGCCGAGCTGCCACGAACAAAGCACCCCTGCAGTTCAGCTGGGGAATGCTGAGGACAGCCTCTGGACCCCAGTTTTCCAGCCTGGCCTGCAAGCCCTGGCTCACGGCAATGATGACTTGATAGCTGAGTACATTTCGCCCTCGAACTAGCTCAATTGCTAGTACTATTACTGGGAGACTTTCACCCGTTATAACCAAAGGGGAAGGTCTTAGAGATGGGGACGTGCATTCTGTGGGGTACCCGCCATCTTCGGCAAAGATGGCCCCTACTCCACCCAGTACGTCTGAGAAAAGCAATCCCAAAACGTGGAAAAGGTTTGGATAATCTCAACCTTCTCTGAGTACTGACATCATTAACTGCGTGGACCCAGTCCGGACCTGGCACCATGATGCAGCAGACGCCATGCTACTCATTTGTGCCACCAAACACCAGTGTGAATTCGCCCAGCCAAACTACAAAAAAATAGACGTAGTGCCAGTCCAACACGAGCCCTTTGCCCCAGATGCCTATGCAAACGCTCCAGGACCGCAAATCAAGTTGTGGAGCTGTGAGTCCGTGTAACTGTGCAGCGGGACTCCTGACTCTCCTCCCCATAATGACATTATTGAAGGGGGCCAGCCCCTCCACACCTGTGGATATTTCTGTCAGGTAGGACAACAGACTGACTAAAGAAATAAGACAGAGACAAAGTATAGAGAAAGAAAAGTGGGCCCAGGGGACCGGCGCTCAGCACACAGAGGGCCAGCGGCGCCGGCACTGGTCTCTGAGTTCCCTCAGTGTTTATTGGTCACTGTCTCCACTACCTCGGTGAGGGGGGTGTGGCAGGACCATAGGGTAATGGTGGGGGAGGGTCAGCAGGAAAACATGCGGGCAAAGGCCTCTGTGTTATGAATAAGTTTAAGGAAAGGTGCTGTGCCTCCATGTGCACGTAGACCAGATTTATGTCTGACTTTACACAAATATCTCAGTGCAGTAAAGAGCAGTATTGCCACCAGCATGTCTCACCTCCAGCTATAAGGCGGTTTTCTTCTATCCAAGGAAATAGAATGTACAATCAGGTTTTACACCGGAACGTTCCATTTCCAGGGATGAGCAGGAGACAGATGCCTTTCTCTTGTCTCAGCTGCAAAGAGGCCTTCCTCTTTCACTAATCCTCCTCAGCACAGACCCTTTACGGGTGTCGGGCTGGGGGACAGTCAGGTCTTTCCCTTCCCACGAGGCCATATCTCAGGCTGTCTCAGTGGGGAGAAACCTCGGACAACACCCAGACTTTCTTGGGCAGAGGTCCCTGTGGCCTTCCGTGGTGCATTGTGTTCCTGGGTACTGGAGACTGGAGAATGGTGATGACTTTTACCAAGCATACTGCCTGCAAACACATTTTTAACAAAACACATCCTGCACAGCCCTACATCCCCTAAACCTTGAGTCAACACAGCACATGTCTCTGTGAGCACAGGGTTGGGGCTAGGGTTACAGATTAACAGCATCTCAAGGCAGAATAATTTTTCTTAGTACAGAACAAAATGGAGTTTCTTATGTCTTCCGTTTTCTACATAGACACAGTAACAGTCTGATCTCTCTTTCTTTCCCCACAAGCATGACACCAGCGGATCCTGGGGTAGCCCAACCCAACAGCCGGGTTCTGGGCCAATCGTGATGGGCCTTCATTCAGTCACGTCGACCTATGGCAGCCAGGCATCTCACAACAAAATGATGCCTCCCAGCTCCCATACCCACCCTGGACACGCTCAGCAGACATCTGCAGTTGATGGCCATGCCCTGCCTCACATGGGAAACATCAAGCCCCACACCTCAGGTATGAACCACCTGACCCCAGAGGAGACACCTTTACAAGTGCCTCTGCCCCACCCCATGCAGACGAGTGCCCTGGGGGCTACTCCTCCGTGAGCAGCTGCAGTGGCTATGGCAGAATGGGCCTCCTCCACCAGGGGAGGCTCCCAAGTGACGTGGACGGCATGCTCACTGAGCACTGGGATTGTGACGTGGAATCCAAGTCTTCGTTTGGAATGACCTTATGGATGGAGACGCTGAATTTTAACCGCCACAATGTGTTGCCCAACCAAAGCGCCCTGCACAGTGTCAAGAGGAGGCCACATAGCTAGCTGGGTGTCAGGCTGAGAATTAGCAACCAGGCTATGCTTAAAAGTACTTCAGATTGGCCGGGCGCAGTGGCTTGCGCCTGTAATCCCAGCACTTTGGGAGGCTGAGGCGGGTGGATCACGTGGTCAGGAGATCAAGACCATCCTGGCCAACATCGTGAAACCCCGTATCTACTAAAAATACAAAACTTAACTGGACATGGTGGTGGGTGCCTGTAGTCCCAGTTACTCGGGAGATGGAGGCAGGAGAATCGCTTGAACCAGGGAGTCAGAGGTTGCAGTGAGCCGAGATTGCACCACCACTCGATCCAGCCTGGGCGACAGAGCGAGACTCTATCTCAAAAAAAAGAGAAAAAAAAAAGAAAGAAAGAAAGAAAAAGAAAAAAAACTTCCACAAAAATGTTTATAGTATAATTCTTCACGATAACTAATAAGTGGAAACAAAGGCTGGCAGTATGGCTCAGGCCTGTAATTCCAGCACTTTGGGCGGCCAAGGCAGATGGACTGCTTGCAGTCAGGAGTTTGCGACCAGGTTAGGCAACATGACAAAACCCCGTCTCTATAAAAAAATACAAAAATTATGACTGGGCACGGTGGCTCCTGCTTGTAATCCCAGAACTTTGGGAGGCCAAGGCGGGCGGATCACGAGGTCAGGAGATTGAGACCATCCTGGCTACCACGGTGAAACAAAAAAATTAGCCGGCCATGGTGACAGGCACCTGTAGTCCCAGCTATTTGGGAGGCTGAGGCCGGAGAATGGCGTGAACCCGGTAGGCAGAGGTTGCAGTGAGCCAAGATCAGCCACTGCACTCCAGCCTGGGCAACAGGGCAAGACTCTGTCTCAAAAAAAAAAAAAAAATTAGCCAGGCATGGTGGTGTCCCCCTGTGGTCTCAGCTACTTGGGAGGCTAAGTTAGGAAGCTAACTTGAACCCAGTAGGTGGAGGTTGCGGTGAGCCAAGGTTGTGTCACTGCAGCCTGGGGCACGGAGTGAGAACTTGTCTCAAAAAAAAAAAAAAAAAAAAAAAAAAAACAGAAACAACTCAAATTTCCATGAATTAATGAAGGGATCAATAAAATGCAGTATATTCACACAAAGCTAAACTTTTTTTTTTTTTTTTGAGACAGGGCCTCACCCTGTTTCCCAGGCTGGAGTGCAGTGGTGTGATCACAGTTCACTGCAACCTTGATCTCCTGGACTCAAGCAATCCTCCTGCCTCACCCTCCCAAGTAGCTCATACTACAGGTGTGAGCTGCCACACATGGCTAATATTATAAAATTTTTTGATAGAGACAGGGGTCTCCCTATGTTGCACAGGCTGGTCTTGAACTCCTGGGCTCAAGGGATCCTCCTACCTTGGCATCCCTAAGTGCTGGGATTAAAAGTGTGAGACACCACGCCTGGTCAACAATACAATATTACTAAGCCGTAAAAAAGAATGAAATATTAGTATGTGGTACAATATAAATGAACCTCAAAAATAGTATGCTAAGTGAAAGAAGCCATATATGAAAAGCCCTGTATTATATGATTCAATTTATATGAAATGTCCAGAGTAGGTAAATCCATAGAGACAGAAAGTAGATTACCAGGGGCTGGGGAGAGGGAAAGTGAGGAATGATGGCTAATGGACTTGGGGCTTCTTTTGGGGGTGATTAGAATGTTCTGAAATTAGCTGCTGGTAATGACTGCACATTATTGAACATGCTTTTATTTTATTTTACTTTATTCATTTATTTTTTGAGACAAGGTCTGGCCCTATTGTCCAGGCTGGAGTGCCATGGCACCATCTCAGTTCACTGCAGCCTCGACCTCCTGGGCTCAAGTAATCTTCCCCTCAGCCTCCCAAGTAGCTGGGACTACAGTCACATACCACTACGTCCTGCTACTTTTTCTATTTTTTGTAGAGATGGGGTTTTGCCATGTTGCCCAGGCTGGCCTAGAACTTCTGAGCTCAAGCGACCTGCCCTTCTTGGCCTCCCAAAGTGCTGGGATTACAGGCGTGAGTCACTGTACCTGGCCAAATTGTACACTTTTAAAGGTGAATTTTATGATACATGAATTATATCTCAACTTTAAAAATAATGTGCAGCAAAAAAAAAA